CCAACAAAGATCACTTTGTGAATAAAGTTATCCGTGGTTATACTTCAGTCTGATCAGATCGGAAATCTAAATTAAGCTCTTCTGTAGGGCTAAGGAAATCTCTTTATTCACTAAGTGTTTTCTTAATATGACTGATGGGTATTTATTTTGGAAATATAAGGAGTCGATGGCTGCGTATGGATACTTATGCAAGAAGAGAAGATGACAACGTTCGTCCAGAAGCTGGCCTGTTATAATCTGTGTATTACAAAACATAAATTAATTCTGTTGCATTAATGACAGGCAAAAAACGCATTTGGAGAGTTAGGAGAGCCGCCTTATTACCTCATCGCCTGTAAAGTCAGCATGCGGAAGTGCTGTTTCAACAAGTTTTGTCACGAAAATAAATACAAATGCCTCAAACAGAAACGTTTTTATTTAAAAAAAATTAGAATTCAATCTCAAAAAGTTTGGTAAATTTAAAAAATTCTTCATCAAAAGTAAAACCGCCATGTTGCTATGTAGTTATATCTAGTAACAATGACGAGAATGATTCTTATTTAAAGGATATAAATAGTATTTTCGCTAAAAGAGGTGAATATTTTTCAGTGCTTTTCAAACCAAGAAATTTGTACCTTGATTCCATTTTTATTCGTTATCTCAAATCCAAATTATGCAGAGATAAAGTTCTCGACTCACTTTAAAACGGAAATATACATTCAAGGAACACACATTTATAAAGTCTTGAGTATATCACTAATGGCAAGTTCACCAACAGAAAAAGATCAACTCCAACAGATCACGGTTCGTGTTTTTTCTTGTTGCATCTCAATAGAACCCCCTAGTTTCAGTATCAGTGCCATCAAAAGGAAAGCAACAGGAATTGACATTTTGGTCAAACACATTTCAACTAGATGAAGCGGAAAAATTACCGCACCCTTAATCTTCAGCTGACAAGCAAGTCCGACGTTTCTTTCATCTTTAGCGCTAGCTTAGAGGTACAAGTTTATGTGCTGTATACTGTTATGATGGAAATCCTTTTCGATCCAATCCTTTTGAGTAGCAAGTGAATTAATACCGATAAATTGAAATGTTTTGTTCATTAACAGATTCAGTCATATCGTTTGCGCTTTTTGACATGGTGATTTTCGTGAAAACGAAACGGAAAAAAACACTTGATTAACGCAAGGAATTTAAAGAAGCTTTAAATAAATAACTTCTTACTACGACACATTTATTTAAAGAAGCTTTAAATAAATAACTTCTTACTACGACACAGTGAAATAACTGAACAAGCCTCTCTGGACTTAAGTAATTTCCCATGTTTGTATCCTTCAGCCTCGTTATCAACTCGAGGCTAACATTTTAACTATGCCATCCCGTTCTTATCCCAACTGCCAACCACAAAACACCGTCAAACGTTTCTGAATTATTTATTTGTTCTCGAGAAAAACACCACTATAACCGTCAAACGTTTCGAGAACGGTGAAATAACTTATTTTTCTCCTTTTCATTGCCTTGTTTCTTTGCGTTGTTATATATAATGTTATCAACCATATAACACTATCAAACGTTTCTGAATTATTTATTTGTTCTCGAGAAAAACACCACTATAACGCAATGTCTTCTTCGGTGGGCAATTTTTTTTCTTAAGTGTTCGAGAACGGACCATACAAGAAACTCATTTTTCAGAATTGGCGTAAATATCCGGAATAGTATTCTTATCAGCCATTGTTACCAAATTACAAATTTGAAGAGGTAATAGATCATTAGCATTTTACTTCAAGAGGATAATTATGTTGACGTATATACTTTAATCGATATTCTTAGTAAATCATAACTTTCTGAAATTAATTTTTTTCTATATTTCTGTACATCGTTGGCAGTAAATGTGTTTTCTATTTTATCCATTTCAAATGTATTACACTATTTGGTATTCGTGTATGTGCTCTTTTAAAGCTTCAACCTTTTAATTGTAATTTTTCAAAATTATTTTAGCTACTATGCTATTTTGCGGTTAGGGAATAGTGTATCCCATGTGTAATTCATGTGGTTATAAGGTTAATACGTCTTAGATGATGTGTAAATATTTTAAAATTGAAGAGACAATGTTGGTGACTTATCTCTCTTGGGTGTTAAAGAAAAGAAGGGTATAATAATTCTGCGGTCAGTTAACTTGAAAGCTTTCTTAAATAAGTACTTTGGATCCAAAAGGGGTACGTTAATCATCTGGTGCAGTCTCTGACACAAAACAACTGTTTTAATAGAGTGAAAGCAACTTAACGCGTGAAAAAAACGTTTTTGCAAGGATAGTGTTTTTCGCTTTAAAGGCGGTTTAAATTGTCGTTTCTTACCTCCCTTGAGGAAATAACGTCATTTGTAATGCTTCTTGAAGACTATCTCAGTGATAATCGTCTCCACCCTCAGAAATAATCACGTTTAGAGTCTAAACTTCTCGCCGAGGTCAATTTAGGTCGCAAAGAGGGAGTTATCCCGCGTATGACGAAACGTGTCTTCTCCAAATAGCTGGAGGGGCGCACGCAAGTAAAACTATCTGGGGGGTTTCTGAAAACCTGTGAAAAATGTGAAAAATTGATCTAAGGAGCGGGATTACAATTATTGAAATAGAAAAGTATCTAAGTTGTGTATGAAATCATCTAACTGAAGGGTGAAGGATGTTTGACATCTCTTGTTACATTCGTTGAAGCAAGGTCACTTTAGACCAAAACTGTTTCATTTCCAAGTCGTGTAGAGTTTTCTGTTGTTGATTATTATGGTATCACACTACAAACTATAACGATCTGAGGTTTTATATCTATCAACAAAGAAGTAGAGGTGATCAGGGCTTTTTGTGAATCTGTTGTGGGAATCTGTAAGGCCCCGGTTGTTCAACTTGAAGGGTGGATAACGCTATACACTGAATAACTCAGCTCTATCCAGTGGATACGGCAGTACGTTTTGTAAACACTCAACCGCTGGATAGCGATTCATCCGTCGGATAGTTTTATCCGCCCTTTATACAACTGGGCCCAGTTGTGTTAATCAATCAGGTTGTATATAGCTAATTTTTCGCATTAGACAGTTATTTTTGCCAAGAACGGAACTGCAGTTGCCTTGAGAATAATAGCCTCATGCATTGATAAATCGGAGTTTGTTTCAAGGCTCTGGCCTAAATCACGTGCTCTAGCTCTAGCTCAGAGACTGAGAAAATGAGTTAGATATTGTACAATCAAATGAAATTTTCTGATATCTCACTTTGTGTAACAATTGTTTTGCCTGTGTCGTATCGCAGTTTCAAGTGTTTATTTTTTACCTCTAATTTTCACGGAAGGGCAACCGACACATGGAAGCTGAAGATAAAAATACTTTTTACATGACTTTGTCCACCTATCGAAGAATACGTGACAGTAGATCTGAAAGTAAATGCTCACGGACGAATACTTCTGGCATCAGGGTTCGTGAGTATCTACTTTCGATCGTCGTCCTCGTATTTACAAAACATTCTCAGGCATTAGATCTTTGTAACTCTATTTTCTCTGGAGGCTTTTTAGCCATCTTGGACTTTAATACATTGAAGTATTATTCAGTTCATCATTTAATAAGTCTAACCTCCCCTCCAACTGAATTTAACGACCCTCACTGATGCATTGCGCATTTTTCATTCTTGAGCGCACGGAATCAAAATGGCCAGGGCTTGCTGGAGGAAGAGTCGTCTTTTTTTCCTCCTGATTTAACTGCAATTTTATTGTAGCAATTTCATACCTGCACACTGAATTTAGAGCGAATCGCATGGCAGAATAAAAAACAATTGTTAATTTGTTGATAACGTTTACGGCAACGGGAAAAGAGAAATTTGAACTCTGGCTTTGCTTGTTCTTCCTGCTATAATCATTAAAATAAACTAGCGGAAAAAAAAATACAAAATTCTCAAGTGCTGAAATCTAATACGAATATTTTTTCGTAACTAAGTCTACCAAAGGCTTAAAAAACAAAGAGAAGTTCAAGTTTTGTTGTTTACCGTGCAAAATGCTATTAAAACGAAAGTAAGGACCTTGCGTGGTACATTCAAAATTTTTATCGTTTTTTCCTTTTTTTTAAAGTTTTAATGCGTGGATTTGGACTGTTTTCTCAGTTTCGATGCTATCTGCATATCGTTAGGTATATTTAGCTCTAGTTTTATTGGTTTATAATTAGTCTTTTTATGTCATCAGATTGACTTTATAGCTTGTCAGACAATTTCTAACATCCTTGAACTCTGACGGATATCGAAACATGTTTTCTAAATATTCATATTGAATTGGAAATGTCAAATATTGACAGTATATAAGGCCGGCCTTAAACCTTGAGAACAGCACTCGTCGCCAAAGTCGTTTTTCTTCAGCTTTAGAGAACGTTATTGGAGAGATCGACATCATAAGGTTAAAAATGGTTTCCTCTTTCCAATTAGTAAGTATGCTCCCTTATAACGGAGAGTAATAGTCATGTGTAAAGACCAATACGTTAATTCTATTCTTGAGCTTTTTAATATCTTTACGCTTTCTTGTTGTTGATATGGCGTCATATCCCTTGACAAAAGCGGAAATACATGACATAAATTAAAACTCCGAATAGAAACTGTAAGAAAAAGATAATTAAGAACTATTCACCAAAGTAGAGGTCGCTACTAGTAAATATTTACCGAGCTGCAAAGCGGCGAGGTTAATATCCACCGTTAACCGCCAAAAACGAGGTGAAGAGTTGTTTTAGTATAAATTAAAACAAGGGGGTTAAAAGAGCACAAAAAGATGATTATAATTCATTTATTCTTGCAACAATTAAAATAAATTTGGACACAAATACCGTGCGAGTTGCTCGAGGGTGAATAGCAGTGGATATTGAGAGTTTGAGAATCCAATCAGAGCGCACTATCTCTGTTATAGTTTTGAATGAATCCAGAAAAGTTTCACATTAGACCACAGTTTCGGAAGATTTCAGTTAGCGTAAATTGTAATCTTATTTTCATTCCACTACCTTATTTTTTCTTGTTGAAGCTTTTTATCACGATTGCACTGTCGGGGATAATAACACCATCTCTTCAACTTCCTTCATGTCGAAAAAGTTTTCTACCGCCTCGAAAAACACTCAAACGTCTCCGCCAAAATTTCATATTCGTCGAGACAACATTCTTTGGAACGCCAAGGCAAAAAACTCGCTACGTCGATGCACAGCGGTCAGGAAACTCAATTTGTCCCTGGAGATGGGTTCACAATGACAACCCAAATCGTGTCCCTCGATTCCTGACTAAGGCCGTGTGTCCTAATTGTAAGCATTACTGCCATGCAATACGGTATTCCCACAGGGGCCTGGTGCAGAAGTGTGACGTCAGAACAGGGGAAGCAGTGTGGCAATGGACCGTGGTTGAACTTCCGGTGGCATTCATTTATGATCCCTAAATTGACAAAAAAAAATTCAGTCAATGGAAAATAAGGCAGTTTTGGTGGAATAGTTCTTTTAAGGTTAAATTTTAAAAAGGAGCTGGTTGTCTAAATGTTTGTAAATATTATTATCAACGTCGATACGAAGAATTTTAATAGAGACATTTTGTACGCAAAATATAGATTACTTTTGAGAAACAATAATAAACAAATTAAAAATATCAATTTGACTCGAAAGGTAGTGAGAAATGAGAAAATATACACGCATCGATGGAAATTTGTTTTTGATCTCTGCGTAAAGTAATAAACATAAACAAGGCTGTTAAAAAGGTAAAGTACATGTTCATGCCTATATGTAGATATAGATGTAGGCTTTCCACTGAGACTTCAATCTATAGGTCTACTTATTTCTTGATGACACAGTAATGTGGTTAACTGTAGGATATTTAAGATCATTTTAGTACCATCCATAAATCTTCACTCCAGACATGTTTAGGGAAATTACCATAGATCTGCTATTAACTTGACAAGATGAGAGATGCAATTGATCCAAAAATGTGCATAGAAATTGCTGTAGATCTTCAAATAACATGGCAAAATGTGAGATCTTCAGTTTTAATCCAGACTTTCCATAGATCTTCTTCATGGAAAAATTTGTTTGCTTTTAACATTTGGCTTCTAACATGAAAAATTGTGAGATGTTTAGTTATAAGCGATCCAGACGTACATGTTAATTTCCATATACCTTCAATTTACATGGCAAAATGTAAGATGTTCAGATGCAATTGATCCAGGCGTGTGCATGGAAATTTCCATAGATTTTTCAGCAACATGGAAAGACGTGAGATGTTCAGTTACAAAATATCTAGACATGTGCATATAAATTTCCATAGATCTTCCAGTAACATAGAAAAATGCGAGATGTTCTGTTATATAATCGATCCAGACATGTGCATAGAAATTTCTATAGATCTTCAAATAACATGGCAGAATGTGAGATCTTCAGTTTTACTAGATCCAGACTTGTGTATATGGAATTTCCCATAGATCTGCTGGTAACTTGATAAAATGTAACATGAGTATTTACTGCTTTTGGTTTAGACATCTCTATGGAAGTTTCTGCAGATATGTTTGTAAAAATTCTCAGGAAAATCACTGTCAAGTGTTGATATTTTATTTCTCATATCTAAAGCACACACACACACACACACACATATAAATGCATATATACATTTATATTTATTTGTACATTTATTTCTTGTACCTGTATATTTCTAAAAAAAATAATTCCTTTCTATGTTGTAAAAGTTGTTGGAATCAATTCAACTTCGAGGCGGTTTTTATTAGCCATTAAATTTTTTTCTTCAACATTGCTAAGTTTCCTGGTCAAGAATGTATAATGTAGAGTACATGTAACCCAGCATATACTGAAGTGGCAAAGAACCATCTCTTAAATAGTGTTTTTTACCAAATTTTCTTTACTTCAGAAAATCTGCACTTAAAAAATTATGTGTTTATAGATCTCGGACTAATAGTAGGGTTTAGTGAAAGTTATCAATCGCAGCGGAGAAGTTTTGTACGGTTTCTTAGGGTAGGCCATCTTGTTCTTTGCCGTGAAATCAATTGGTTGCTTGTTATAGATGCTGAATTTCATTTTCCTTAACCCTCACATTTCCTCACTACCTTTGACCTTACTAAAAATTAAGTTTACTCAATACATTTCTACTCGACAGCGAAAATTTCCTCTTTTCTTCTAAAATTGAATTGAAATTGTATTCAACATATGTCATTTTCCATTATCAGTGAATAGTTTCCTGAAATATTTACTTTTCCCTTGCAGTTCTTGATTTGATGTCAGTCGGATTGCTTAGCCTGTCGATGAAAAAGTCGATTTGGTAGGAAGAGGATAAGCGTTCAGAGTCACAGTCAAATTGCCTTGATGAACAAAAATTTGATCAATCGTCCATGGATGGGCTACCACTTGATAACCTCTTAAGAGGAAGTTATTGCAAGGCCATAACATTTTTCAAATATTTACCACAATATAATGTCATTCCTGATTTTTCTCTGGCTACTTTAAGCAATGTCGTCATTATCAATAATATGTATTTGGTGGAAGGATTCCAGTAATGTTGCCACCAGATCAACATCTAGAGATGCGTGGAAACCAGGAAATTAGCGGATTTTATTTTAAGCAAATTCTAAATGTGGGCTCCTTGTCTGGGTTTCATAGAGGTTCCTATTTCAAGTTTTCGGAGAGATTGGAAATCATCGGAAACATTCAACATACCTAGGTCCGACTGCAAAATAATTAGTTTTTTTCGGCATCACAGCTTCCAAACAATAAATATGTATTAGTCCGCGACGAAAGAGTCAAGCGAGTGATGTAATATATGACGTATACGGCCGGAATACAAAACTTTTTTTTAGACAGTCAGCTCAGACATGATCGTGTTTGAATTTGCTCTTTGTGGTTGATTTGATTTTTACGGTATTGTTTAAGAGAGGTGATCCTCTCTAAAGACTACTTAAATTTATGAGTGTTATCTTTATAAAGAGCTACTGCTAATCTCAACCTAATGCACGCACGTTGTAAGCTTAATTTTAGAGACCTTATGCAGTCAGGACGGCAAAGCCAAGGAATACTTCGATTAAAAAATGAATTTCTGCCTTTAATTAGAATTTAAAAAATGGCTGCATGTGTTAACCGTCACATACGGCGCCACACCTCCACTTCAGCATATCATCTAAAAGAAGCGTTGAGTTCCAAATGGATATTAAAATAATTTGCCGTCGCGGTTTCAGTTCGCAGACGACGCAAATTGTGGTGATTTCACGTTGTTGTTTTGCATAGGACGGCTAAGAAATGTACCAAGTTTTAAAACGCACGTGCTGAGCTATTGTTCTGCCAATGAGATCTTTTGTTTTTCCATGTCCTCGTTGCCGTCGCCGTCGCCGTCGTGGTTTGCTTAGGGTCCCTAATATATCTTAAGTGTGTCATGGATCTACTATAACAACTTCCTAGTCTAACCAACTTCCTATTCTCCTTAAAGCTGTGCAAGTTGCTATAATCATGTCAAATGAATAAAGAGGGTAAGTTTCTAAAGAAACTGTGGTGTTGCGTCGGAGGGAGAGTTCGTATAACAGGGTATTCATCGATTGAGTTGAGTTCATTACGGTGGCCAATTTACGTTATCAACTCAGTTGATCATTCTAAATTACCCTATAATCATGTTAGCCAAGGGAAGCAATTTGGGGGAAACTTAAGACTGACATAATTGACTAAGCCACGGCAGTAGTAAGACTTTGTGAGTGAAAGCTCTCCAATAAATCTTTTACATCGGTAGAAGTTAATGTAATAACTAATAAAATCCATTATATCGAGCGCTACCGTTTAGGGTTTCTTATAACTAAACGCGACTTTGCATATCTATGACAAATTATATTTTATGGGATAGCATGTATGCGCAAAATCTACTAGCAAAAAACACAAGTGAGTGAAAATCATGTAAATCATACCATTATGAAAGGGATAGCAAATTTGCAGTTAACTGTATAAAACAATTGCAGTAGTCAAGATGGTCTCGAATGTACAAACGAACGATTCAACAGTTCGGAACAGTTCAATCAAGACTTGATATTAGCTTACCTCCGTTAACTTTAAAAAACAGGAAGACCTTTCGCTCAGTCTGCAAAGACACCTCCATATAAAACATTACACTTGTTAACAGACCAAATTGCAATTTTTTTTTGACTATCTAAGTAATTGAGAAGTCGTTTCAAGTTTTCGTCTTCTGAACTACATGTCCAATATTTCTTAACGACGGGAACAAAATAATTCAAATTCCTGTTAAACTTTTTTTTAGTCATAAAAGTACACTCCCGACAAAAAGATGCGGAACGATACATTGACACATGGGAAGGAGAGAGTGGGAACCAAAAACCTTATATTTCTATAGTGTAACGCGTAAGTATTAATTCAAAAGAGATACAATATAGCGAGAAATTACACATAACGTTGCGTCTCATTCTATTTTAGCCCCTAGGTCAAAAATATTGGTAAATTCTGACTACAAAAATAGTCGGGAAGTCAATTCGTGTTGCCCGCTTCTGGAACGCAAGTTCTGGGAAAAGAAAGGTTAGCTAATATATTTGGACGTGGGAGTGCTCCGAAAGGATGAAGAAAGACAAAATTTAATTACACAAGGGAAAAACGGATGATATAAAAGACAGCTCACTGCCATATTTTTCAGGAGTCGAAAAAGCTTACTTTGCTGTTAGTGCAGGCCTCTCAGTTAGTGACAAAGAAAACAAGAAGAACTCAAAAAGAGGGAGAGGATGGCTTCCTATTTTAACAAAGTAAGTGTTTTATTTTTAAATAATAGTTCCTCAGCCGGGATTGCTCGAATAGTTTTTTCAAAGATAGCGATTTAAAATTTCAAGAATAATTTAGGAATGTATTAGTTTTTCTTGACGTTCTAATGTGAAGTTGGCCTCTTGCACTATCTTCCACACCACTGAGATACAAAAATAACAACAAATAAAGCATCTTCGCTGAAGTTGATTTGAATTTTGCTAAAACCAATTTTTTTCTCTTCTATGATTGTACGATACTCGTTTATTCTTCTCTTTTATTTTTATAGTTTCGCCTTGTGTAGTTTCCTACACTTATAAGCTTCTAAGAAATGATATTTCAGTTTTCTTATCTATTTACTGTATCCTGTGCGCATTGTTTGTTTTGGTCATTAAATCTAACGCCACAAGATCATCAGATTACCTGCCATCCTCTTTTTGATTGTTGAGTGAGTAATTAAGCGTTAGTGAAGTTGGGCTACAAAGTTTGTGTCCTGGAAAGAAGTAATTTTAAAAAAAGTCGAAGTTTAAAATTTTGAGAGAGAATTCATATCGTGGTAGTCATAGAGAACAGAAATGGGTATTCGAGTCAGCTTCAAGCAATATTGAAAATGATTTTGTTTTTTTTCGTCAGATTTATCTCGTGATTGTTCTTTTGGGCGTAACTTCGTGGTCCCTTCAAGTTTCCTCATGCCCAACAGTTTCCAGTCTAACTCCTCAAAAAACACTCAAACGTCTTCGCCGTCATTTCATGTTCGTCTCAAGGACTGCTACCACTTTGAAGTCAGCTCCTAGAACTTCAAGACAAACTACCCGTGACGGCACTGTACAGTTGCCAGGTACCTCAAGGTGCCCTTGGAGCTGGGGCCTAGATGATGACCCAAATCGTTTTCCTCGATTTTTGACCAAAGCTGTTTGCCCTAACTGCACATCCTCCTGCCGCGAAGTGCGATATTCACTCAAGGGTCTGGTTCAAGACTGTGACGTCAGAACAGGGGAAAGAGTTTGGATGTGGACCGTGGTGGAACTTACAACGGCGTTCGTTTATGATCCGTGAACTTTTTTGTTACTGCGTATGATGTCACCGTGGATGAAGAAGAGTCGAGGACCAGTCAGAGCCTTATAGAAGGATCAGGCAAATTTCCTAATGACTACCAAAATCCTCCAAGACCGGTTAAAATCAACCTCTCATTAACACTGTTACAGCTTACAGATATCAACGCAGATTCCAAATATATCAGCCTCAATCATCTCCTCTAGTCTCTGTTTCAATCCTTACAGTAGTTTATGTTGATAACATGACACGATTTGCAACCAGTAAAACTGTGAACAAAAAAAATAATGCCCAAGAGCTTGGGCGTTATTTTACTCGATAAAGCCGTTCGCACCAAAAAATTAAATATAAGCATTGCAGAAACTGCAAAGTAATATGAAACAAAAGAATAAAAGAAATACATGGTTTATCGCTGTGGTCATTTGACTTTCTTTAAAGCTATTTCTTCCCTCCAAGAGTTCGCCGATTATTGTGAGTTCATGTTGCCTTCGAAGTACAATCAGTACCGCAAGTGTTGTTTTTTAGCTATGACCAGCTAAGTACAGATCAGTGTAAGAACTATCATTTGCTCTTTCATCTGAGTACAGTTCATTGCTTTGAGTTCATTTGTCGTTCTTCTGAGTTCACGTGCACATTTTAATAGGCTTATACGTGTAAAACATAAGTTAAGGAAACTGATTGACTAATCAGATGATACCTACTAGAGGCAGTTAATTACAAACAGATTAGAAAAGGTGGTACATTTTCAGTTCGGTTAAGTGTCCACGACGCGAATTTTTTTTTTGTCTAAATATTTAGCTTATCATATGTATAAACCAATTTCGGTCGAAGAAAAATTTCAAATAACATAAAACTCGGTTTTTTCGGGCCTTAAAGTGCTCTTATTTTGTCTTTAAAGTGTCCCGTGGACTGGTAACAAATTAGTGAATGATGACGTGGAAAACTGTGAAAACTCTCCTTTGACACTTACAAATCTCTCAAACCTCTTGTAATTTTGTATCGGTCAGCGTTGAAATACTCTCGAAATAATGTCCGATAGCGATGTTTACCTAACTTCAGCAAGCTCTACCGGGAGTTTTGATACATCGTACTTAGGTAATAAAGAAGAAATGGAAGTTGTGAGTACGATTCAGCCCTACGAAGGAAAACCGCGTGCATCAAACGAAGATTTCGACGAAGACTGACTAAGACGGTTTCTCGCGTGCGGTGTTCAGGTCAAGATCAGAACAAAAAACTCCCGTGACTGAATGTTTAGTTTGTTGCGTTTGTGTTTTGTTTTCTATGGCGATATCTATGTTAAGAATGGGTAGCTGTGTTCGTTTTTGTTGACATAACATTTTATTCCCTCGCACCAAGCGCGGCGAAGGTTACCCTTGGTCAGTGCTCTAGAGTTTCGTTGCTGTAGAATGATTCCCTTAGCAAACCACAAGCTAACTTTCGACGAAAGGACGAAAGAGTCGGCTATGTCACGAGGCACGATGATTTTGTGCCGAGAAGTCATCGGGCAGTTTCTTTGCAAGTTGCTCCTTTCCTCAAAGATTGCAAAGGCTGAGGCTCTCGTCGTCGAGCCTGTCAAACAGAAAACGAGCGAGTTTATCTCATTCAATTTAACCTCAAATAGAGATTTTCTGATGGAGAAAATTTTTTTAGTTTAAGTGCAGCATTGCCATATGACCCATTTCGCTAAATGGCAAGTAATTGACATCGGTATGGCAAATTAAAATTCGTCTTTCACACAGTGCTTGGATTCGCTACCATCTGATTCAATACTATTTTTTGTTTCTTTATTGATCTCGTTGGAGTGCTGTTATCACATTGACATTGTCACTGTTGCTACTTTTAGTTTCTTGAGGGCAGGGGGGAATTGATAGCTCGTGGGATTTATTTTCGGAGAGTTAGGTTAGAAGAATACACAGCCCCTTCGAGCTTGTGTTTATGCCAGTATCCGCCAGAAGTTTCGCACTGTTCACGCAACAGGATATCGGCCAGTTCAGGAAAGGGCTTGAACTTTATCACAAATTATGTTTTTCTGGTAACAAAATACGTTGGAAACTGCGACTGGTAGGATTTTCATATGATAAGAAAAGCGCAAATGTAGTCATTGGAAAGAAAAGGCCGGTATGAGCACGTCTCAAGCGCGTGAAATACATATGAACAATAAGGAACCTACCATTCTTCGCTTGCGACGTGTCAGCCGAAAATACCTGGTATATGTGTATTATTCTGGTAGCTAATATCGTTTGGCGCTTCGACCACGCAGTACGTTTGTCCTATCTTCCAAATTTCTCCTTTCTCCATCATAGTTGCAGACGTGTCTTCACAGTTTTCTACGTCACAACGATGTAACATGATCGTTTTGGCCGCGTGCTTAATGAGGACACTTTTTGGCCGTTAAAGGCCCATTTTCACCCTTGATGCAACGCGCGCCTCGACCTAATTTCTTGTAACACGAAATTCCTAGATTACCTGGAAGAAAACCTTCTAAAATCGTCTTTCTCAAGAGCCATCCTAGACATATAGTCAACTGTTTTACAGTTAATACATTCGCAGTTCATCGTTTTACAGTTTCCTTGCAGTATTTTGAATTTTGTCCGGTAAGAAACAAAAAAAAAATTTTTTTAAGGGCCTGTTTAAATGGAGGTGGGGGACCAAAGGTAGGTGAGGTAGCCCGCCTTGGTGGCGTAACCCGCCTGTCCATATAATTTTTTTATTTTATCTTGATCACGTTTACATGATAAGTGGAGTGTAAAAAGTTCACATTTCGGAATATTTAGCGTTGTGTATCGACAATATTTCAAACTATTTCGTATAACGTACTAAGTTAATGGTTCCTCGCGTAACCTAATGTAACACAACGCCACGTAACACAACGCGTGACGCTTTCATGGATAAATACATACATGTCCAGGAATTAATCTTTCGTCTTTCTCGAGACATGAGCTTGGGACATCTCTGCTCAAACTCCCTAATTGCAAGCGTAACAACAACCTCAAGAAACCTCACCCCAGCACCCCGGGGACGTAAGATTGTATGTAAACGCATTTTATTTTTCGACCACGGCTAGGCGGGTTACCTCACCTACCTGGTTTCCCCCTCTGTTGAAGGCCTAAATGTAATAACTGTCCTAAATCCAATAAAGTCCTAAATGTAATAGCATTTGGTCCTAAATGTAATAAGCCTCCGATGCAATCGCTGAACTGCGCTAGTGCATTGTTGTTATAGCGGACATCCACATTGAGATGTTAAAGTGACAGCTGTTGCACCAAAGAATCATAAGACCAATATTCATGGCATATTGCGGGCTCGCTGATATTAATCAGCGTCTTTTTATTTGCCAAAGACTTACGTTGAGAAGCATTGGCTACAAACCCTTATACTGATATGCTTTTGGCATCAAATTGACAGACGTAAAAAGATTTAGAACGCTGACCAATAGCTCTCTTTAAATCATTGGCTCAGACTCTTTAGTATAACAGATTTTGACGATATTCTTGTATGATCAGTGCTGAAGTTAATACTTCATGAACCGCAGGCGGCCCAAGCTCCAGCTGTGAGATGATCATCTTGCATGCCAAGTTACGGTGGGGTCCTCGGCGAGGTTCAGTTTAAAAAGGAGGCAAGGTTACCTAGCTGGTTTTCAACGGTCGTGTGTCAAGGTTGATGTGGACGCGGGCTGTTAGAAACCTCTAAACTGGAAATTGTTTAAGCAAACTGCGGCTTAGCGTCGGTTGTACGGGGAAGATTGAGTTTTTAGTGAATTGAAATGAAACTACAGTATATGTGCTTGGATTCTGCGTTGGATTTGTGGCCGCCCGGTCATTTTGCGTTGGAAGTTTTCGCTTTTCAGATCGGGCGTTCGGAAATAGAGTGTTCAGCCTTGGGCTTTTCTTATGAACGTTGAAAACCTCGAAATGGACAACTCGCTAAAATGCGTTCTTTTCATCAAAGTAAGCGGTCAGATAACAAGCAATACACTGTGGAAGTAAGGTGACATATATTTTTGAGAATTGGACGAATTTTTTTATTCCTTAGAACGGTCGTAAATATTCCCATACAAATTCTTATAATTCCGCCATGACTGTTATTGCGCAAGATGATCATCTCACGGTTAGAGCTTGGGTCGCCTGTGCATGAGCCGAATTGCAAGGAAAAGGAAGTCCACAGACCTATACGTTCGACAAATTCCGGGCTCGGAAGTGCAGTTTTTGTACTGTCTTCCCTTGCCAGATTTGTTTGGATCTACATGAAATATATTCATCTGTGCTATTGACCAAGCGTGAGGTCAAAATGCCTGACTGTTGGCCGAGTTATTTATTTGCAAAATGTAAAAAAAAAAAAACGAGGCTTAAATTCAGCCATCTTGACCGAACAAGCTTGGTCAAGAGAGTTTATTTTCTCTTAGCTTAATCAATAAAGGATTCATTGGATAGAGAAAGATTTCGCTTTACAAGAATCAAGAATGACTTATTTCGAGAGCCGAGAATGAAAGCCAACTGTGTTTGTAGCACAATAAACCTAAGAGGGTCGTTTGATTTCTTCTATGTACAAGTCGACATTGTCCAAAAGTTATGAACTTTGTAAGTTTCTTGCGCGGGGTCAATGCTGGCGATACCAAAACATTTGCGTCGCTGAGCTCGTTCATGACATGCTCCATATTTTTGTTAAATGTCTGTTTTTCGATTGGCAATCTGAGCCGATGATTTGTGATGATGTGCTGGACAGCAGCTTCTTTGCATTTACACTTGTTAAATGTACGTCACTTAGTATGCAATACCTTATCCGTTTTCGGATTTGTTGCATATATTTCAAGATCAAGAGAACATAATTGTCCCAGTTATGTCCTTTCGTGAGTATATATTCATATACTCACGAAGATATTCGGAAATTTGAAAGTAATAACTCTTTAGAAGCCCGAATTGGGGAACAAAATGTGCATGCTAACAAGGTCCATTCAGGCATGGAAAGACAAAAAAAATATATCCGAGTCTGCAAATTGTCTGACC